TGTTTGAATGGAAAAATAAGAATTATAAAATCTATTCAATTACTCCTACTTTGTATAAATTTTAATAATTAAAAGAATATTAAAAAGTCAATATAATCATTTTGATTCTTCTCATGTGTTAAAACATTGTACATATATCATGGAATATTTTGAATGTTCAATAAGTATGATTATATTATACCAAGTTCATATATAATTAATTATTTGTTCAACCATCTTAGTAGATTTGATCAGTTCATCTTCAATAATAAAAAGTAATGAAACTGTTTTTTGTTTGTCAATTACAATAACTTCATCACTGTTATAAACGGAAATATAATATAGGAATTGTTGTTAAAAATAGCATTATGTTAGTTATGTTTTGAGTAGTGATGTGTTATACTAGATAGAAAACTATTTTTGATTGAAAAATATATGATTATACATTGATTATATGCACTCGCATTGATATTACCTTTGTCGCAGAGTATCCTATAAGAATATATACCCTTTCTTACATCACGATCAACTAATAGCAATACAACATGAACTCAATGTTCTACATTATTCCTCATTCTTGAGAAAGTATTTATTAAAAGATTCTGATTGATTTTCATTTATATTCACTTGTATTTGCTTATTTATGTTGATATTTATGTATGTTTTTTTTTGTTCATAATAATCATGAATATTAAGACTAATCTTTATATATGTATTGAGCACAAAAACCATTACTAATTCAAATATATCTCAACAATACCACTGATATGAAGTAGTTTTGGAATAAATTATGTTATTATATATATATATCTTTGTTTTCTCGATTAAAACTATTAATATTTGTATGATATCGTTTTCAATTATTTCTTTTTACTTAAAATCCGTACTATACTATATGTTAGGTAGTAGTACTATCTTTTTTCTACTATTGGTACTTCTTCTCTGTGTATTGTCCACCGGATTAGTTATCAATATACTTCATAAGTATATATATGACTAGATCAATTGTTGTTGTAAAAGTATATTTCATTTTATGTTATACTTTTCTAATATTAGTATAACATATTAAAGTTATCGTGACAATAAATAAGTCAACTACGATAAAAAAATAGTAAAAAATATGTATTAATAGATGTTAACGATTTTCTAGATAGTGTTTGATGACATATTTTTTTCTTAAGTCTCTCAATAATGAATGATTAAAAGGACAACGAATATTTTTACCATTTACAATAAAACCTTTATCGTTCCACTGATTATATTCTTGTACCAAATCTTCTGCCCATATTTCTAAACATTTGAATGGTTTGTCAGGTGATCTTGTAGTCACGAAAGAACAAAATTTTTTATCTTTCTCACACATTTCAACAAATAATTGGCCATCTGGTGCTAAATTTTCTGGAGGTTCAACTGGTATTGAAAATCCTTGTAAAATAAGTTGACCTGCTTGTCGAATTAATTTTATAATTTCATCTTTTTTTATACCATTGGCTCGTTCATTAATTGGATAATAAAGACCTTTAATATACGGAGTACCAC